GTGTATATAAAAAAAATGTGTTAACATATAATATATATATACATGAAATATTTCTTAAATATATACATGAATGTGTGTGTATTTATATATATATATATATATATATATATATATATATATATATATAAAATAATTATACACAGTACACACAAATATTTTATGTAAACACAAACTTTTATTTTGGATGTGATTAATCGCGATTAATCGTTGCCCAGTACTAAAAAAAGGCATTGAGACTTTTTATCTCTAAATTCTCATTTTGTAATTTGCAATTTTTAGCTTATATCTCAGAAAAAAGAGAAAAATATTCTGAGAAAAAAAGTCAGAATTGCGAGATGAAAAGTTGTAATTGTCTTTTTAATTTAAGAATATATCTTTTAATATCACACAATTCAGAATTGTGAGCTATAAAATTGGAATGATGAGAAAAAAACCTCAGAATTTAGGTTTATATCGGTTTATATCAATTCTGAGATAATTGTGAGTTATGAACTTGGAATTACAAAAAATAAAGTCTAAATTGCGAGATATAAACTGGGAATTGGATGAAATACAGTTAGTATATAAGTTCTGACTTTTTTCTCACAGAATAAAGCCCAAATTGTAAGATAAAAACTCACAGTTTGAAAGTGAGAAAGTCAGAATTGTGAGATTACAGACTTGTAAAATGAAAAGTTGCAATTGCCTTTTTAATTGGGAGTTTATATCTCAGGATTTTTTACTTTTTCAATATCAAAGTCAAAAGTCAATATCACAATTCAGAATTGTGAGCTCAAATTTCTGAGTTTAAATGAGATAATTGAGAGTTATAAACTTGGAATAAAGATAAATAAGGTCGGAATTGTGAGATAGAAACTCGTAAATTGTGAGTTATAAAGTCTGAATTTCGAGATATATAAAAAAAAGTCAGAAGTGTGAGTTATAAACCGGGGGTAAAATTACAGGATATAAATTTAGACTTTCTTCTAACAATTGCGAATTTATATCTTCAAGTTTTTCACAGAATTGCGGGATATAAATTGTAATATAAAAACTCGCAGTTGTGAGAAATAGTCAGAATTGTGAGATAAATGATCAATTACCATTTTTTTAATAAGAGAAATATATAAGAAAGTAAAACCCTGGAGATCTGTGTGATTTAGCTGCCCGTTTCTCCTCCTCAATCACTCCTATAGAGGTTTTAGCCAGTGTCTATAGATCAAGAGCATTAGTCAAACCTGTCTGATCTCAGGACATGAGTGCCGGTGAAGAACATGAACCCTAGCATGAAATAATGATATAACCCACTTTTATGCCTTCTCACAATTTGAAACCCCCTTCCAGACCCGTCACGATAATAGCATGTTCCCTCAGATCAATAGCAGAGACGTGTTCGATTCATTTGCCAATGAATGAAGTCTTTTTGTGTCACATCTCCTGTACCGTGGTCATTTACCTGTCTGTGTAAGATGAAAGAAGGAGCTCAATAACTGGTTACTAGCACACTCTCTTCGACAGCCACGTCATAAATATACATGGAGGTGAATGAGGCTGTTTTTCCCATGTCCTCATGTAGGACAATTACCCATTTAGGATATTAATATGAGTCTTGGTGACCTACATAGTATAGACATCATTGCATTTGCTCTGAGCAACCGTTTCTGTTTAAAAGGAGAAACTAATCTGCATTCTCTCGAAATAACATTTGCTGAGTATTAAATGCATAATTACATCGATTTAAAGCAAAAGTGAGTTAAGAATAATTCGTTTACGATTCATTTTTACATCAAAGGCCTTTTGAACTTTTTGCTTAGCTCCAGTGTGTATCATTAATAAGCGAAGTCACCATCTGTTCCAGTGGCACCAGCTATTGCTCTCTGCTATGAACAGAACCGATATTAATCTTTCCTCTGCTAACCACCGTACGTCACATGACTGCATTCATCATCACACCGGCTGATGATCCTGATGACATAGTTGACAAATTGATGTTGTCCAAACACTTTATATCTGTAGGGCACTCACTTTTTCTTGCCTATCGGCACTTCTGTCACTGAGCGCTCACACCGAAACATCAAATCAGGCCATTATACAATCAGAATAATGAGCTTTTAAAAAGCCGTACGAACTGAACAGAGAGCGCAAAATGATTTAATCCCTATTGTTAAATTTAGGGATGCACCAATTTGAACGTTTTGGCCGATACGATAACTCGTTATATTTGAACGCCGATAACCGATATATCGGCTGATAAATCTAAATCCAAATTTCAATATAATTTTCAAAATAATACACTATTTATAAGCTTTAATATATCTGCCTAATTTTTTTTTTGGGGCCTACAAAGATAACATTATAAACTAGAATGTACATTTCCTGAAGAAAATGTGAAGTGGTGCTTGCAGTGGCAAAACTTGCCACTCGGTTGTTAGGGTGTTGTACATGATTGTATACGAGCCAACAAACACGTCTATACGATATTGTGGAGCTGAGATATGGCTTATTCATGTTGTTCGGGCGGTTGCTAGGGTGTTCTGGGTGGTTGCTAGGGTGTTGTACATGATTGCATACGAGCCAACAAACACGTCTATACGATATTGTGGAGCTGAGATATGGCTTATTCATGTTGTTCGGGCGGTTGCTAGGGTGTTCTGGATGGTTGCTAGGGTGTTGTACATGATTGCATACGAGCCAACAAACACGTCTATACGATATTGTGGAGCTGAGATATGGCTTATTCATGTTGTTCGGGCGGTTGCTAGGGTGTTCTGGGTGGTTGCTAGGGTGTTGTACATGATTGTATACGAGCCAACAAACACGTCTATACGATATTGTGGAGCTGAGATATGGCTTATTCATGTTGTTCGGGCGGTTGCTAGGGTGTTCTGGGTGGTTGCTAGGGTGTTGTACATGATTGTATACGAGCCAACAAACACGTCTATACGATATTGTGGAGCTGAGATATGGCTTATTCATGTTGTTCAGGTGGTTGCTAGGACGTTGCTATGGTGTTCTGGGTTGTTGCTAGGTGGTTGCTTTGGTGTTCTGTGTGGTTGTTAGGGTGTTGTACATGATTGCATACAAGCCAACAAACACGTACGATATTGCGGAGCTGAGATATGGCTTATTCATGTTGTTCAGGTGGTTGCTAGGGCGTTGCGAGGGTGTTCTGGGTTGTTGCTAGGCTATTGCTAGGCGGTTGCTAGGGTGTTTTACATGATTACATACGAGCCAACAAACACGTGTGTACGATATTGTGGAGGTGAGATATGACTTATTCATGTTGTTCAGGTACTTGCTAGGGCATTGCTAGGGTGTTCTAGGTTGTTGCTAGGTGGTTGCTAAGGGGTTCTGTGTGGTTGCTAGGGTGTAGTACATGATTGCATATGAGCCAACAAACACGTATTGTGGAGCTGAGATATGGCTTATTCATGTTGTTCAGGTGGTTGCTAGGGCATTGCTAGGCTGTTCTGGATTGTTTCTAGGGTGTTGCTAGGTGGTTGCTTGGGTGTTCTGGGTGGTTGCTAGGGTGTTGCAACGGCGTTCTGGTATTCGGCTGGTACCGATATAGTGGCAGATATATTGTGCATCCCTAGTTAAATTACGGTGAGTGGCGCGAATCACCGTAGGCACGTTCACGATAAAAACTCATTTTGAATTCATATTGAGAATGTTCCACTTTAAAAAACTATGGGGAAAATCAAACATGATCTAAAACAGATTCATCAACTAAAAAGACAGATGAAAAGAGGGTAAATCAAGTGACCAGAATTGGTCAAGTTAAATTGTATTTATTGTGGTCGTTTTTAACGTAACTAGTTGTCGAATTCATAATATGTTAAGGGAATAGATTGCTGTAGCTATATAGTTTAAATGTGGAGTTTGCCAGAGGAAGAAGAAAAGCTAGAGAGATTGTCACGCACCACACAAAGCTGGACGAGAGATAAATGCTGAGTGATATCATTTCTTTCTCCCTGAGGCTAGACAGATGAACATTGATGGCTCGTCTTTGTGGAAAACTGTAATTGCTACAACTAATGTTTAATTTGTTCTCCGTCTAATGGATTTTGTCATTTAGGGGAAGCTAAGCTAATGAGTTCTGCTATGAGTGTGTATTTTCAGTCTCTTCTCCTACTGTGTGTTCAGAATAAGACATGAAGAGCACATCTCAACACAATGCATCTCTCAAGCCTTTATAAGGTGCTTTTACACTCGCTCAAGAGACTTCGGATGTAATAGTGTAGTATTGGAGTGTAATGCATAATGTCTGAAATGTTTGTGTGGGTCAAGATATGTCGATGTTGATTGTCGTAAATATGGACACTGTCATGCAAGAAACATTTCAGACTTTTAAGACAATAAAGTATTATCTAATCTAATGAATACAGACATCAGTTAGATCAAGTCTCCAAGAGAACATAAAATTGAGACATTTTTGACATGCAGTAAGTCAGTATAAGCTGTGAATGCTTGGATTTGTCCCAACTTCACTTAAAAGAATAATCCACACAAAAAAAAAAAAAGTATGTATACTCACAACCAGACCCATTCACGTCTTTTTCTTCCCGACAATCAAATATACATGGCAATAAAAATTGCCATCTCAGGTGTTTGACATATTTTTAGCAAACAACAATATTCAAATTTTCTAAAAGTGAAAAATATTGTAATTTTTCCCACTTCAGCTGTTTTTCTCCAACTACATGCTTGACATTCTTCCATTATGATTGCATTTTTCATGTTTCTTTGTGATTTATTTCACTGTTTTGTTGATTTCCTGTCACGGAAAAGCCATTGTGTTATGTTTTTCTTTCTTTCTTTGTTTTTCTTTTTATGTGTTCTCCTGTGTTTTGCTCTCCGTCCATCCATCCATCCCTCCCTCCCTGTATTTCTGTGTGACTTCACTATCCGCCCTCCTCCACCCTTTATTCCTGCTTTGACTCACACACTGAAAGATGTAGCCCTGCCCTCCCCCCCTCCCACCTCACTGACCCGTGCCACTACTGACCATCTAATGCCAGGGTCCCGAGTCGGCGCTGGTCCCAAACCCTCCGGCCCGCGGGACGTCGTGGCCTCGCTGGTGTCCACTCGCTTCATCAAACTGACCTGGCGTGTTCCCGCCGAACCACACGGAGAGGACGTCACCTACTCCGTCTACTACAGCCTGGAGGGCACTAACAGGCACGCCATTTATATGTTATAAACACACTACTACTGTATCAAAGCTGTGTACATGTACATTTATTCTGCAAGGATCCATGAAATGAATCAAAAGTTACTGTAAACTTTTGTAATGTTGCAAAAAGATTTATTTCTGTTCTTCTCAACATTCTATTCTATGGAAGCTTGTTTCCGCCACTGAATGAAAAATAAAAAAGGTAATTGCGACTTTTTATCTCGCAATTCGAACCTTTTTTTTCTCACAATTACGAGTCGCAATTGCGTATTATAAAGTCAGAATTGTGTGATATAAACTCGCAATTGCATGTTATAAAGTCAGAATTGCGAGAAATAAAGTCAGAATTGATTGATATAAAGTCAGAATTGCGTGAATTAAGGTCGCAATTGCAAGATATAAAGTCAAAAAAAAAAAGTCTCAATTCTGTCTTTTTTCTCACAATTGTGACTTTATTTCTCAGAATTGCAACTTAATATCTCGTAACTGCGACTTTATTTCTCAGAATTGCAACTTTATATCTCGCAATTGCGACTTTATTTCTCAGAATTGCAACTTAATATCTTGCAATTGTGACTTTATTTCTCAGAATTGCAACTTTATATCTCGTAACTGCGACTTTATTTCTCAGAATTGCAACTTTATATATCACAATTGCAACTCTATTTCTCAGAATTGCAACTTTATATCTCGCAATTGCGACTTTATTTCTCAGAATTGCAACTTTATATCTCGTAACTGCGACTTTATTTCTCAGAATTGCAACTTTATATCTCACAATTGCAACTCTATTTCTCAGAATTGCAACTTTATATCTCGTAACTGCGACTTTATTTCTCAGAATTGCAACTTTATATCTCACAATTGCAACTCTATTTCTCAGAATTGCAACTTTATATCTCGCAATTGCGACTTTATTTCTCAGAATTGCAACTTAATATCTTGCAATTGTGACTTTATTTCTCAGAATTGCAACTTTATATCTCGCAATTGCGACTTTATTTCTCAGAATTGCAACTTTATATCTCGTAACTGCGACTTTATTTCTCAGAATTGCAACTTTATATCTCGCAATTGCGACTTTATTTTTTCAGAATTGCAACTTAATATCTCGTAACTGTGACTTTATTTCTCAGAATTGCAACTTAATATCTCGTAACTGCGACTTTATTTCTCAGAATTCCAACTTTATATCTCGTAATTGCGACTATTTCTCAGAATTGCGACTTTTATATCTCACAATTGCGACTTTATTTCTCACATTTCTGACTTCATATCTCGCAATTGTGAGATAAAAAGTCGCAATTATTATTATATATATTTTTTTAATTCAGTGGCAGAAACAAGCTTCCCTACTATTGATCAAAGAATCTGGAAAAATGTTTCCATAAAAATATGAATCTGCAGCATTGATAATAATCAGAAATATTTTTGGAGCAGCAATTACAAAAACATTATATAAAAAACATTTCTATGCCTTATGGTTAGGGAAATTTTTGGGTAACACTTTACTTAAAGGGGTGTGCATAAGACTGACATGACACCTTCATAATCATGACATGACACTATGCATGTTTGTGGCAAGCGTCATTCGCTCAATTATGACATCTCTAATGCAAATATGACATTGTTTGAGATGTCTTTGTTATGACAACTTGACATAAACCAATACATCATTCCTTTCGTTAAAATAATAATAATAAATCAATATTATATTTAAAATATCATATTAATATTTTATTTGCATTTTGACTATGAAGTGAAATGTGACCCAGGCATGTTTCCGTGTCCGAGAAGCCTTTAATAATGGATGCTATCGATTATTGTATTCTGTTCATTTGTTGCTATTATAAGTCACATGTTGTTCTTATTCATATTTATAACGCCGTTCTGTATGAGCTGCTTTTGACTGCAGAACAATATGAGAAGCTTTAAACCACCAAATCAGCAGTCATCTCCTGTTTCAGTCTCATATGCCGCTTCTGCTCCTGTACAGGGAGAGGATGGTGAACACCAGTCGTCCAGGAGAGATGCAGGTCACCATCCAGAACCTCATGCCAGACTCCACGTATGCCTTTCGTGTGGTGGCGCACAACAGAAACGGCCCTGGAGAGAGTTCAGCGCCGCTGAGAGTGGCCACCCAGCCTGAAGGTGAGAACAAGTTATAGGAGGCTTTTCAATTAACAAATCAACAACATTCACCATGGATTTAAAGGGATAGTTCACTTTGAAATTAATTTTTGATATGTTTTGTCTTACCTCAAGGGCATCAAAGATGTAGGTGTCTTTGTTTCCACAGTATTTTCAATTTTGACATTTTTCAGTCAAACCGTTGTTGTCTATCAGTCATACACTGGAGGCTAAGGGGGTCCACCAAAAAGCATGCACAGAGAAGTCCAAATTAAACATGATTTAATGACTTGTAAATGTAAGTACACATTGATGGCCTAAGACACGCAACGAACGGTTTGTGTGAGAAAACGAACAGTATTAATATCGTTTTTACCTCTTGTAATCATAGCCATGAGAAAATGATCTGACGGCATGGGCGATGCGCCGGAAGTGATCGCTTGCTGCCTACGTCACTCTTTGTTTATACAGAGATTTCGGAAGTTTTACCTTTCACTAAACATATTACGGGATATACGGGAAACCGCAATGCAAGACGGTTTCGGTATTTCTAAATATGTTTAGTGAAAGGTAAAACTTCCGAAATCTCCGTGTAAATATTGAGTGACGTCACACGCAAGCGATCACTTCCGGCGTAACATTGAACTGATTCAGTTCGGTTCAGTTGGACATTGAACAACTGATTCAAATCACTTGGACGTCACTGAGGTAAAAACGATATAAATACTGTTCGTTTTCTCACAAAAAAACGCTCGTTTCGTGTCTGATAGACAACAACGGTTTGACTGAAACATGTCAAAATTGAAAAATACTGTCTTGGATGCCCTTGAGGTAAGCTAAAACATATCAAAAATTAATTTCAAAGTGAACTATCCCTTTAAAGCAGTAACGCTAACTGTAACCATGGTATTGTGGCAGAAATAGTCAATTTTTTAAATTCAATTAAGGGTTCGTACTAGGGGTGTGCCGGTTTCAGAATTGGTGGTGACGGTGATGATGTGAGTCAAATGTGACGGTTCGTTCGACGTTCGTCTGTTGTCTGTTATAGGACAACTTAGTTTGATTAAACGAGCCGACACGGATTAGCTACTTGCTCTACGTTTATTTTAAATTAACAGCAAGACAACTAGCAGTGAATGTGCTTTCCATTAAATGAATCACACGCAGTAAATCCAAAAAACAAACAAAAAAACAGGCCTTTCTTTGTCAGTGTCGGCTGCAAAGATGAAGTTGACGATGCTGACTCGCGATCTTCGCAGTAGTAAACGCGCACATTTCATACGGATCACATAAGAGCAGTCTGTTTTCTTTGTTTGAATTGTTCTGTTTAAAATAGAGGCTACGCTTAGTTTCGGTTCATTTATGAGACGGGCGCCTCCGTGTCGTGATTATCTATATTTACTACTTATTTATTAAATCCAGGCAATTGGTTGATGAAACATTGATTAAAATTAAGATACAAATAATACAAAACGAAATTCACTTTTTTGTGCTTTCTGTTTGAGGTCTCTGTGAACGTTTTACTCTGTGGGACGTGATTAAATGTCACGTCTTTTAGTGGCGTTTTCACATCCGTAACGTTGTTTTTTCCTCATGAATGCGAACACGAAACATAAAATAAAATGAATATTTTATGTTCTGTAAAGACTACTGTTACTCATAATTTACATTCTGAATACGTAACTTCGGTTCATGTATTCCCTTATTCCCCAACACTGATATTAGTATAACTTTATCTGCAAGAAATTTTAATAACACGGTTTTGGCGATTATAGAGTTCCTTGGAGAAAAAAATTGATATATGCCTTAAAATAGCTTGAATGTAACTCAACACCATGGCCTCATTTAGTATACGCTGTTCTATGAATATGCAAATGAGCCCCGCCTCCACTCACTCGCTGACGATCACACGTTGATCTGATTGGTTTCAAGGTCATTTGTGACGTCAGAAACACCAGCGATGTTTTCAGTTTTAAGGAGAAGACACTTATAATCTTAGACTTTGCACATGGTTTGTCTTAAAGCATATTAAACACACCACATAGACATATAAACAACACTAAAAGCTTGATTTTCACCACAGGGGGACTTTAACACATTTGTGTTACGAATTACTCTCCGATAAATTTAAGTGGGAATCAATGCATGAAATCAATCTGACGTAGTGTTACGCTCACGCACATGTCTGGAGTGTGTTTTGGGCCTTAGAGATTATGCCGAACATTTTCTCAGTTTAAAATCTCATTATAGAGGTAAGCACACATGGTAAACACCGGCTGACTTTTAAGCAAACATGCCTCTTGAAGGTGTATGGCCTCACTCCATCAACCTGAAACATTCTCAGCGCAGGAGACGCTGTTTCTGGGTCAGTCGTGCTCCTCTGTGTGTCCTTGGCTCTGACACTTTTATAATGTGTGTTAGCGGGAATCTGGCGCTCTCGGGAATCCTGCTGCGTGGAGATCATGAAGTCATCTACACACACTCACACGCCCGTCGAACGCACTTAATCCCATCCCGGTATCAGAGGCAGCCGTTGATGTTGGACAGAACGAATGCCTGTGGAACTGAGATAAAGCGATTTCTCGCTCAGATGCCAGAAACGCGCGATCAAAGTTCGCAAAATGATTCATGTAAGACATGGAATGCAGTTTATATAGAGCTTGAATATGACAGATGGTTCAGTGTAAACACAACCGGATGAATGCAGCCGTAGAGTTATTGCAGACGTGTGGGCCGTTCATGTTGCTCTTCACATTACAGTGAAAGTTTGTGTTTACTGAAGTGACCGGAGACCGCCATGTTTCATAAACGCATCATAAACTAGCAGTAGTCCATAATATTTAAGTCTACTAAACTCTCAGAAAAAAAGGTACAAAAGCGGTCACTGTGGCGGTGACCAGGTACACTTTTGTACCTAAAGGCTGCATATTGGTACTTTAATGGTACATATTAGCACCTACAATGTTCATACTAGCACCTAAAATGTACATTAGCACCTAAAAGTCCATATTAGCACCTAAATGTCCATATTAGTACCTAAAATGTACATATTACACCTAAAATGCACATATTAGCACCTAAATGTCCATATTAGCACTAAAATGCACATATTAGCACCTAAAATGTACATATTAACACCTAAAATGTACATATTAGCACCTAAAATGTACATATTAGCACCTAAAATGCACATATTAGCACCTAAAAGTCCATATTAGCACCTAAATGTCCATATTAGTACCTAAAATGTACATATTACACCTAAAATGCGCATATTAGCACCTAAATGTCCATATTAGCACATAAAATGCACATATTAGCACCTAAAATGAACATATTTGCACCTAAAATGCACATATTAGCACCTAAATGTCCATATTAGGGAAGTAAAGAATATTACATTTTTTTTGGTGAACAATTGATGTTTCTCCAGTGGGATTGTCCCTTTAATAAGTGTATTGTGGGTTTCTTTGGATAAAAGTGTTGGCTCAATAACCACTGGCCATCTTTCAGTTGTTTAATGTCCATGCTATTATATTATATTATATTTCATGTAATGTAGAGCTCAGCTTGGATTGGCCCTTCATGGTGAGTCCCCGAAGGCATGTCAGTCGTGAGCGTGTTGGAAAACAACAGATTTAACGGACACACGTCGGAGCCTATAATTGATCGTAATGATTCATGACCCTGACAAGTAAACAAAAGTTAAGCAACATAGAATCTCATTTCCATCCCCTCCGCTCTGCTGAGCAAATGAAATCACGTCAATCCTGCAGCCTGAGCTGGTGTGTGTGTGTTATAGAGTTGTCTGTCGACACACACCACTGTCATGAGAGATCTCACTCTCTCTATTCAAGTCCATTTCAATGTGCTTTATCGGTGTGACTGGTTTACAAACAAGGTTGACAAAGCAGAAATGGACATGTCAGAGAAAAACAGTGACAGGCAAAAGGTGTCGGAAATTAAATGAAAATAAATTCAATTAAATTGATGAAATAATGAAATGAAGTGAAGTAAAATAAATTAAATTAATTGGAAATAATTAAATAAAAAACCCTGATGAAATTAAATGAATTGAATTGAATTAAATTAAATGAATAAAAAATTACATTAATTAAACGATACAAAAACATGTTGTTTTTGTCTGTCTATGTAATAGTCCAGGTTCCTGGTCCTGCTCCTAACCTTCATGCAGTGGTCACGTCCCCCACCACAGTGAGTCTCAGCTGGGACGTGCCCCTCATAGGCAATGGAGAGATCCTAAACTACAAGATCTACCACATGGAGAAGGGCATGGACACTGAGCAGGTAAAACTAGAGTCCACCTCCTCCTTCACCTCCACCTCATCCTTCACCTCCGCCACCTCCTCTTTCAACTCCACCTCCACATCCACCTTCACATCCACCTTCACCTCCTTTTCCCCCTCCACCTCCTCCTCTACCTTCACCTCCACCTTCACCTTTTCCTCCACCTTTACATCCACCTCCTCCTCCACCTCCCCCGCCACCTCCTCCTCCCTTCCACCTCTACCTCCTCTCGTCCACCTCCTTCACCTCCACATCCACCTTCACCTTCACCTCCTCCCCCACCTCCTCCTTCACCTCCACCACTTCCACCTTCACCTCCTCCTCCACCTCCCCTTCACCTCCTCCTTCATTTCCACTTCATCCTTCACCTCCAAATCCACTTCCACCTTCACCTCCACATCCACCTCCTCCATCTCCAATTCCACCTTCACCTCCTCCACCTCCTCCTTCACCTCCACCTCATCCACCTCCTCCTCCATCTCCAATTCCACCTTCACCTCCTCCACCTCCTCCTTCACCTCCACCTTCATCTCCAATTCCACCTTCACCTCCACCTCCTCCTTCACCTCCTCCACCTCCTCCTCCACCTCCTCCTTCACCTCCACCTCATCCACCTCATCCTTCATCTCCAATTCCACCTTCACCTCCACCTCCTCCTTCACCTCCATCTCATCCACCTCCCCCTCCACCGCCACCTCCTCCTCCCCTTCACCTCCTCTTCCACCTCCTCCTTCACCTCCACATCCACCTTCACCTCCTCCTTCACCTCCAACTCCCCCTTCACCTCCTTCACCTCCTACTCCCCCTTCACCTCCTCCTCCACCTTCTCCATCTCCACTTCCACCTTCCCCTCCACCTCCACCTCCCCCTTCACCTCCTCCTTCATTTCCACTTCCACCTTCACCTCCTCCTTCACCTCCACATCCACTTCCACCTTCACCTCCTCCTTCACCTCCACATCCACCTCCACCTCATCCACCTCCTCCTTCACCTCCACATCCAGCTCCTCCTTCATCACCAATTCCACCTTCACCTCCACCTCCTCCTTCACCTCCATCTCATCCACCTCCACCGCCACCTCCTCCCTCCCCTTCACCTCCTCCTCCACCTCATTCACCTCCATCTCCCCCTTCACCTCTTCCTCCACCTTGACCTCCTCCTTCACCTCCAACTCCCCCTTCACCTCCTTCACCTCCTACTCCCCTTCACCTCCTCCTCCACCTTCTCCATCTCCACTTCCACCTTCCCCTCCACCTCCACCACCCCCTTCACCTCCTCCTTCATTTCCACTTCCACCTTCACCTCCTCCTTCACCTCCACATCCACTTCCACCTTCACCTCCTCCTTCACCTCCACATCCACATCCACCTCCACCTCATCCACCTCCTCCTTCACCTCCACATCCAGCTCCTCCTTCATCACCAATTCCACCTTCACCTCCACCTCCTCCTTCACCTCCATCTCATCCACCTCCACCGCCACCTCCTCCCTCCCCTTCACCTCCTCCTCCACCTCATTCACCTCCATCTCCCCCTTCACCTCTTCCTCCACCTTGACCTCCTCCTTCACCTCCAACTCCACCTTCACCTCCTTCACCTCCTCCTTCACCTCCTCCTTTACCTCCACCTCCTTCATCTCCACTTCCACCTTCAACTCCTCCTTCATTTCCACTTCCACCTTCACCTCCTCCATCACCTCCACATCCACTTCCACCTTCACCTCCTCCTTCACCTCCACATCCACCTCCTCCATCTCCAATTCCACCTTCACCTCCACCTCCTCCTTCACCTCCACCTCATCCATCGCCTCCTTCACCTCCACATCCGCCTCCTCCATCTCCAATTCCACCTTCACCTCCACCTCCCCCTTCAGCTCCACCTCCTCCTTCACCTCCTCCTTCATCTTCACCTCCTCCTCCACCTCCTTCTTCACCTCCACTTCCACCTTCACCTCCTCTTTCACCTCCTCCTTCACCTCCACCTTCACCCAGCCTCTGTAATATCATTCATGTATTATACACATGTATATTTATATCATAAAATGTCTAATTGTTAGTATCTTTCTAAATATTTGCATTTATATAGAAAATTTCTATCTGTGCAGTCTCTGTGCATAACAACTCCGCTATTCGCTGCCTATATCTCTGACAAGTCTCTCTCTCACCAGGATCTGGATGTGAACACCCTGTCCTACACCATGACTGGACTGAAGAAGTTCACGGAGTACAGTTTCAGAGTGGTGGCCTACAACAAACATGGACCTGGAGTCTCCACTGAGGACCTTTCTGTGCGCACATACTCGGATGGTACAGTAAATCTTCTCTTTTTGCTTCGTCCTGCTAGTCAGTTTCCACCACTCCTCCACTAATTTTGCTCCTCAAAACAACCATGATAAGGGCTATAGCCTTACTAGGCAATAAACCAGCTATCATCTATATCCCTCTTGTAGCTGCGTCAACAGAGCAATATCAGCAGGCTCCAAAAATAACTTAATGCCATACCTTTCAATGTTGAGTGAATTATAGTGAAACTATGTTATGGTGTTATTACTATATACTTCAACTGGGACTCGCAATCTTCTGTTACATTTTTTATGCTCTCTGTAAAATTAGGCCATTTTTCTGAAGGTTGCTGTGAAATGGAGTCCTTTTCTAAATTGTGTTATTATGAACATAGGCAGGGCTTGACATTAACACCGGATTTCATCAGTGGCGTATAACGCAGTCACACCTACTAGCCACTTTGGTGGGATAAATTTCGAAATGAGGGATGTTCAATTGTAGTCTTTTAAAAAGCTATCTGAAATAATAAACTAAGTGTAATGTAGTGTTGTCAAAAATACATTTTTCGTTACATATCGATACTAATTTTCTGCAGAGTAGATGCACGATATGAGCTGCTCTTTCTCTCTCTCTCATCTCTCCAACAGCGAGTGACACACAGACCCGCCTCTCCTCACTCACTCGTTTCATTTGATGAATATTGTTGCTGTTACAGGGCTTGAATTTCGGCGTGGGATTGCAAGTATTGGGCAGAATTTTACTAATTTGTGCGCGCACATAAAGGGCTAAATTGGGTTCTTTTTCGCTACTTAAATACACACAAAATGATGTCAAAATGCCGGTCTTTATCAGTATTCACGTAAACACAGTCGGTTATGTTTTAAGTGAACGTAAACCGTTGAGAAAGAAAACGCATGTGTAACAGTATAAGGGATCCGTGCATCTGGTCTTAAAGTGACAGCAGCCTAATAAACCTGCTGCGAAATTATGAGAGAATATTACAAATATATTCATGCCATTTTTTTCCCCAAAAGTTAAAATTACGGCTTGTGAAAATGTTGCGCAGTGGCTGGTGAGCAACAAATTGAATGTCAAGCCCATAGTGCTTTGAGAAACATGAAAGTAGCCATTGACAATAGTTAAATATATAGTTTAGTGGTCATCATATAAAACGATTTGACTGCTCAGTACTGGCATTAAAGGGGACATATCATGCAAAATCCACTTTTTTAGTCCTTAAATGCATTTTGTTGTATATTTGGGGTGTTTATAAGTACAGAAAAGATGAAATTATTCTCTTCAGGTGATTCGTTTATATCTTTATATTCTGTTTTGGTCATATTTTTCAACCTGTTCAGATTTTTCTGTTCTCTATTACGTTTTTTGAACAATTACGTCACAGTATTTGCAGAGGAACTGCCAAATAAGGACATCGACTACCGGCCCAACACTTCAAACAATCCGCCATTATTATTTCTCGCTCCGATTTTGCAGTCCGAGGTCAATGATGCAGAAGTTACGAGAGGGCAAGTCAAAATGTTCGGTTGTTAGTGACCTAAAGCACTTCAAGGATCCCCACTTCTACAACCTCTGCTAGTATAAATAAGGGTTTGCCGATCGACTTCGTCTGAATGAGGGGTAAATTCCTTCTATCATTTAACTGTGTTTTCTGACGCTTTCGAAACGTAAGTTATCATATTATTATCAATACAGATTTTTAGTGGTAAGATCAGACCGTAGTCATTTATCTTGTCAGTGTGCTTGTTTTAACAGAAATAGTCGACTTTCACTAATAACACAACATAGTTAACTTACATACCACTGCATCCATATGAAGACGTCGTTCTGCAGGTTCGTCCTCGTCTTTTTAAAATCGCTCGCTCTGGCTCGAATATTTAAGGCTTGATGGACAAGTCTTCCGTTATTGACATTTTGTTAACGAGTGACTAAAAATGTTCTTTAAAGCTATAGTAATAGTATATCTCTAATCAAACTACAATAATGGCCGAACGTGGGGAGTTGAACCGACCGTGAACTCATGGACCTGGAAAGCGGGCGGGGAAAGACGCAACTCCTTTTTATTTAAAGGGGCCGCTTTGAAACGGGTCGCTCACAGACGCACATCAGAAAAGGGGCCTGTGGAGCTATAATAATGAGGAATTCAGACCCAAGCATTGCAGTTATTCTTTATATAGACCCCAAATGTATGATTTATAAGTAAAAATGAATGATTTAAAAGCATGATATGTACCCTTTAACCAATCAGAATGCAGTGGACCCATGTAATAAATGATGAGTAACCCTGTCCTCCCTGTGTTCAGTCCCCAGCGCTCCACCACAGAACATGACGGTTGAAGTGCTGAACTCGAAGGTAAGGAAGGCTGTGTGACAGTGAACAGTAGCTCTGATGGAGATTTAACTGCACATCTGTGGACTGTCACAAAGCGTCACATCCTCATTTATTCTTCCTCTGTGTTCTCCTCCCCCTCTTTCTCAAGATACAATTTATATTTGTTTAGCTGCCGGGGAATATGAGTTTTCCTCCTGTTGTTTTTATTCATGAGTGTGTTTATTGTTCTAGTCATATCCAGACAAGCAAGCGTCTTTTGCTGGAAAAATGCATTTAGCACTATTATTTCATGGCGTTTGCTAAGGCAAGAATGAATGAAGTGCCCCTATTATGGTATTTTAATAGTTCATAATTGTAATCGCGTACAATAGGTTTAAATGCATCGTAATATAATTGCACCTCAGTTCTCAAAGTGTCTGATAACGGTTTGCTTGAAGATTTAGGATGAAGAACATAAGCCATATTTAAGGACCACAACATTATAGATTTATTTATTTATTGCAATGACTATTTTAGAAACAGCATCCCCAAAGCATCAATATACAACAACAATAATGAATAAATAAATAAAACAAAAATCACTATTGGCCAAAATATGCCAGTGATAAAGGATGCATTTAAATACATTTGTGAGGAATGTTTTTTTTTTTTTTAAGTAACCACTAAAAAAGTAATATTAGTATTTTTTTTATTTATTATAGACATAGTTTATGTTTATAATGTGTTCATGCCTTATAGTTGCGTTTAGCAAATTAGAGCTGTGCGATGATATAATTAACCTATTTTATGTGAAGATATATATATATATTAGGGATGGGCAACGATTAATCACATCCAAAATAAAAGTATGTGTTTACATAATATACGTGTGTGTGGTGTGTATAATTAATTAATTTGTATATATAAATACTCACACATGCATGTATATATTTAAGAAAAATGTGTTATTAATATATCAAATATTTATATTTATATATAATATTAATTATGTACAAATATATATAAAGTATATACATGCAAATATTTCTTAAATATATACATTCATGTGTGTGTATTTATATATACAAATTAATTATACACACTACACACACATATATTATGTAAACACAAACTTTTATTTTGGATGCGATTAATCGTGATTAATCGTTGCCCATCCCTAATATATATATATATATATATGAAGAGTTCAGATGCAAAAGCCTCTAAATGCCATTTGAAATTTTCTTCTTTAATGATGATTTTTATCAAATTTGTATATTTAAGTTCAGTAATTTCACTTAAATGGCAATGATAATTACCTATTAATTGTTATTTAAGTGAAATTACTGAACTTAAATATACAAGTTTGATAAAAATCATCATTAAAGATGAAAATTTCAAATGGCATTTAGAGGCTTTTGCATCTGAACTCTTCATATATATATATATATATATATATATATATATATATATATATATATATATATATATATATATATATTGTATATATATATATAACTTTTAACTCTTGCCTCGCCAGCGTTTAAAAAAAAAAAAAAAAAGGTGTCCAGTCAGCATTGGAGATTCAGGACTCTTTCAGGTGTGTAATAGCGCCCCCTACTGTATAACAGTGATAACACAGAAAGCCAATGGTGGGGAAAGAGTTAATATATATCGCTGGCCAAAATTATAGTTAAAGAATTTTTACTTACTGGGGTTACGGTTAGGTTCAGGGTTCGTACCCAGTTATTGTAATAAGTACATAGTGTGTAGGCTACATGTGGATCAGGCCACCATAGCACCTATCGTGAGTGTACTATGTATCCATTCAACATTCAACAAATACTTCAAACCCATCAATAGGTCATGACTTAAACACTAGCAACTGTTCAGAACCGCAAAACTGTAACAATCCAGTCAATTTGCATTATGGTTACACACGGATCCACACACTTTCAAGCCTGTAATGGGTTTTATGGCTCAGTAATTAGCACTGAATAATTATGAAGGCTTTACATCCCATGTAGACGCTTTACTCTCTCAGTTTTGTACATCGGATGAGTTAATTAGCGGGATCCTGCGGACTGTATCGGGTTATCCGTGTGTGTGTGTGTGTGTAATGAACACAGTGACCCACACTGGTGCCACCTCACACACCCCTGTGACCCATAAGGCAGTTTGTTTTTGCTGAAAACACAAGCAGCGGTTAGCGAGGTAAACTGGAATTGGTTGAAAATTGAAATACAGTAATTGCATACTTGGTGCAGATTTAATTTGGTTGATTCCCTCATGCCCCGTGAACACGGCAACTGTGGATACTAATAATTAATTCCCCACCCACGCTGGGCGGCCTTCATTATCCCAGCATGCACCGCAGGCCTCCTCCATCTATCCCGAGCTTCAGTCCCTCAGGCTCCTCTACACTTCACAGCTTTATCTATTATTCATGGGTTTGGTTCAGGCCGGCCTCCACTGCTCTCCCGATGCCCTCTGTTGCAGGGCTGATATACTTGCACATGCTTTACGTGGAAGACGATCACGTTCTGTAATGGATGCCTCGGGGAGACGATGACTTGGGGTTAGATGGCTTGTTACTATATGGTGGCTTTGCATGTAGAAGCCCGGAGGAGCTGATGAATCAATGGCAGTGTTAATATACTCCCTGTTGTTAGAAATCTCATACTGGTACTAAATTTGGATTGCGACCGTTAAAAAAGGATATTCTGTATAGTATTGGGTTGTGTGAATGAAATTCGGTGTCATGTGACCTACGTCGCTTCACGGCCTTATGGAATAGTAAAGTGTCCATCATGGGATAGTAAAGTGTTTTTGAATGTGCACTTCAGAATCTCACTATAAGTAGTAGGTGACTTTTCGCCTACTGTTTTTCGATTACTACACTGTAAAAAATATTGTAGGTTTAACTTAAAAACGTAAGTAACCTGGTTGCCTTAAAGTTTTAAGTTGATTGAACTGGAAAAAGTGAGTTAATACAATGAAGGAGATTAATTTAACCATCAGCAACTCAAAATAATAAGTTATCTCAACTAAATAAATTATTATAAAGTTGATTTGACGAAAGAAAATATGTTGTGATAACAAATCTTGAAAATATTTTTTACAGTGTATGTATTCGCTCAGAGCTGCACGATTCTGGATAAATTGAGAATCATGATATTTATTTATTTTTTGGTTTCTAATGGAGATCATGATTCTGAATAGACAACTAAACAAACTAATTTACGTAGAGGTTCTGGAAAAGTGTTAATTGCAACAATCTATTTCAAATGTTTAATTAAATTGAATTTTTTTTTTAAATCAGTTTGAGTGAATGATTCAACGACTCACTCATAAAGACTTGTTTCATTGCTGGATGAATCAGCGTTTTTGAACGAATCTATTGAATGAATGATACAACGATTTTTTCTTAACAGTCACGTGTCGCCACCTACTGGTGTGACGATGTTATCGATACAATCTTTATTTGAAGCGTTATGTTAATTTCAAAAGGTGATTTGCTGTATTTTGATCGCCACCGTAGACATCAATGTTTATATCTGAACTATAAACTTTTATCCCAGTTCTTCTGTGGTCATTTGAATATTTGTAACACGGAAATAAAAGGTTGAAAAGACTGTTTGTGATCTGGATCAGCGGCAGTGCAAACGCAGATTTGGTTTAACAGACATAGCCGAATCACTGTCGTTTACGAATGAGATCATGTTGGTGTTTGAATCGAGGTCGTAATCTTTTAATTGTGTAGCTCTACTAACTTACTTATTTGGCGTACTTATACGATATAGTCTGGAAGTTTTCGTTTTCGGATGCAGCGACTGTGTTTACTGCTGTCGAAGGAAATCAGAACGAGTGGAACTGAGGATATCTTTTGTTTTTTTTCGGACTATTAACTTTATAGAGCATCATGATCAGATGGCAACCTCCGCCGGCAGAGGCTCAGAACGGCGAGATCATCGGCTACAAGATCCGCTACAGGAAGGGGACGAGGAAGAGCGAGGTGGCGGAGATCACTTCCGGATCGCAGCTCTATCAGCTCATAGATGGTAAGCTCATGTCAAACTCAGAAGGACGAAGCGATACTTGGTTATTTTGAAGTTATCGTCGACCTCGGCACTAATAACCGTGCCGCTTGGGCCTATTAAAGGAGTAGTTCACTTTCAAAAAAAAACTTTTGCTGATGATTTACTCACCCCCATGTCATCCATAGGCGGAGTTTGACATTCGAGCCAGGGGGGGCAAAAAAAAAAAAAAAAAAAAAAAAAAACATGCTAAATAAACACATATTTATTTTTATCCCAAGAAAAAACAGTAAAACAATACACTGATATTTTATTGCCTTTATGTCATTGTAAACAGCTAGAACTTCGCATTAACAGCCACTTCTCGTCGCATCTTCGTTATAGGATCATGAAATGTGGACCACTTTTGCACTGTTAAAATATTATCTTCAACCTTAAAGTTTTCTTTCCTTTTTTCAAAACACATTCTGGCAATGATAATGATTTAAAAACTAGTTACATTTCGCATTTATACTTCATGAATCATTGAAAAAATTTTAAGACACGGGATTAGGCTACCTATTGGTTTTGATGAGGGGGGAAAAAAAAAACTTTACGAGTGCGGATTAGAACCTCGAACCTCCCGAGTCCTGGATCTGGACCATCACTGTATACACGAAAAAGGGAGTATATATTTTATATACTCACTATACACATGAAAAAAGTGCTATACTCTGACATTGTGCTCATTTTTATTTATGCAATAAAGGGCGTATACTTTATACTCACTATACTCGGACATTGTGCTCATTTTTATTTATGTACATCAGGAGCTACAGAACATCGTCTTTCAAAACATGACCTACTCGAAAGAGAGAAAAAGAATGAATGCGTACCCAGCACTTGTGAAAATGCCCTTTCGAGTACGTCTCTGTCCCCAGCACATTTCAAATTGACGCCCATTTATCGCAGAAAAGCTTCTCTCAGAGTTAGATGACACAATCGACCGAGTGAGCGATAACTTAAAGAGATTGGGGTTGGTAGTTTTTTTACAGCCTTTTTAAGAAAATGCGATTACCCGTTTCAGCCACCGGGGGGGCAACGCTCCCCCTGCCCCCCCGCAAACTCCGCGCCTGGTCATCCAAGATGTCTATGACTTTTAGTTCTTCAGTCAAAAAGAAATTAAGGTTTTTGATGAAAACATTCCAGGATTTTTCTCCATATAATGGACTTCAATGGGGACCAAACGGTTAAAGTTCCAAAAGAAACTTTAAGTACAAACTGCAAACTTGTTCAAAGGACTTTAAACGATTCCAGGCGATGAATAAGGGTCTTATCAAGCAAAACGATCCCTCATTTTATAAATAAATAACAAAGTTTAAGTTTTATAAGCTCAAACGCTCGCCTTGCTCTGTTCTGTAACGCACTCCTGTTCGAACTCGTTCATCAAAATGAACAAATCTTTTCCCGAGTCATTTGGTTGATTCTGCGAAGGAAACGACTGAATTGATTCAGAAAAAGATTTGTTCATTTTGTTACAGAACAGAGCAAGGCGAGCGTTTGAGCTAATAAAACTTAAACTTTGTTATTTTCTTTTTAAATGAGCGATCGTTTCGCTTGATAAGACCCTTATTTATCGCCTGGAATCGTTTAAAGCCCTTTGAAGCTGCACTGAAACTCTCATTTGGACCTTGAACCGTTTGGTTCCCATTGAAGTCCATTATATGGAGAAAAATCCTGGAATGTTTTCATCAAAAACCTTAATTTCTTTTCGACTGAAGAAAGAATGACATGGACATCTTGGATGACATGGGGGTGAGTAAATTATCAGCAAAAGTTTTTTGAAAAGTGAACTAATCCTTTAATAACTCAAAAATTATAAAAAAAACATGTCAGCTTAGTTATCTTGAGGTAATTTAGCACAATTAATTCAAAATTACTCATTTATTCATGCGCCCTGATCCTATTTGAATAATTAATTAGTGTGTCATGTAATTAAATTGGTTGATTTTGTTAAGCAAATTAATTACATGATTGATACTCTACATATTGGCTGACTAATTTTATTTTTAGACGGCACCAGTTAAATTTTGTCCTTACCCATGTAACGTTACCGTCTCTAGAAAAACTCATTTCTCAGACAGACATATTCATAATATAGAGCCTCAAGTGACAAACTCTATCCATTAATAAAACAAAAAGTGAAAATGAAATCCCAAATAGACATCAACAGCTTCATGGGTGTCACGTTGTGTTTGGCATCAAAGCAGATATTTCTGAATTCAAAGGCTTGAAGTGGAGTGTTAAAAGAAGACATGGGTTTCTATATCCCACAAGGCCGTGGGAACAGCTCTGTCTTTTGCATTCGACGCTCTAAGCAGACGCTTATTAACATTTTAAAGCAATTACAACCTCTGGCTTATTTAAAGACAGCATGCCAGTCTAGTGTATAAATCAGCCCTCGAGGCAAAGCTGTAGCTTGCAGGTCAGTGTGTCGCACGGACTATGATGATGATGATGTGGGTGTGGTTATCGATTTTGTCTCAGTAAATGGCTTGAGAAACACACATTACTGTTTGTTTCAGAGAAATGAGCTGACTGGTTGATTGAGATGTACAGAAGTACTTCACTTTTACTATTGCTAATACTTAGTAATCTAGTAGTAAGCTAATCTCACTAACAGACAGACATCAAAGATTAATTCAGAACTCTTTATTTTATATTGCCAACATTGAAGACACCTGATGTTAACAAGCAGAATCACTGAAGGAGAAAACCGTCATTTTAAAACAAACACTGATCACCATAATGGTGACTTCAATTTATGTTTTTTTGATTGTTGTTGTAAGTTTTACTCATTTTAAATGGTTAACTTTTAAGGAATTAATTTGATTAACCCTCTGGGGTTTTTCGGCCCAAATGGACCCGAATGGTGACTTTGTTGGTATTTGGTATTTGAACACCCCAAAAAATTGGGGACAGGATGTGAATAGTCTAAGTGGTTGTATAAAAAATAGTCACACTTGGGGTGTTCGGGTCCAAATGAACCCGCATGGAAAATGAATGGGAAATTGGCAAAAATGTGAAAATACTGAGCTTTTTTGTGCATACAATCTACAAATCAGTCACGATCTTAAAAAAGGACACAACAGTGAAGGGGTGAATCTATAAAACATCAAGAGTGCAAAACAGACACATCCACACACACACAAACACACTTTTATACACAAACACACCAAAAAAATTCAGATTATATGCGTTTTGCATTTTTAAAATTCTCAGTTTGTCCACCAGATGGCATCCATCTCATTTCAAAAATTGCTTTTATGAGGCCTAGGCTTGACTCTAAAATGAAATACAGCTTTAAAAGAAAATAAAAAAAATAAAAAATAATAATAAAATATTTTTTCTATTATGTTCAATGGGGGGAAATTTTGTCATAATTATTGCATTAATACTAATTATAATTTCTTTATTTTTTTAATTTTCAAAACACCAAAAAAGAAAAGAAAAAATATTATAAAAAACGAGTAAAAAAAAAATCGTGATTTTTTTTTTTTTTTTTTTTAAATATTTTGACCATTTGGACCCGAACACCCCGAGTGTGACTCTGAAACGAACAACCCAAGAGGGTTAATTATTACTCAATTCTAATTAATAATATTGCTTGTAATCTGTTGCCACAAATTTTTTGATTAGATAAAGCATATTCATTTTTACAGTGTAGCGCTTTTTCCAATACAGATTGTTTCAAAGCAGCTTTACGGGGATAACTGTAATAATAATGCAACACAGTTTGTTTCCAGAAGAAAATAGCGTCACAGTCCAGCTCAGTTTTGTTTCATTTTTGTTGTAAACAAATTATTAATTTAGTTCATTTATATACTGTATATAGCCGTTCTGGAGAAGATGTCAACAGTGATGTCATCGTCCATCTCAGTTCAGTTCTCATATAAGGGTGTCAATGCAGGCAGATCAATATTATTGTTGAATATTAGAATTTTAAAGTTGTACAAAGCTTGTATTGAGTTTTTTTTCTATATTTTCCAGGTCTGCAGCGAGGCACTGAATACATGTTGCGAGTGGCGGCCATTTCGGTGAACGGCACGGGTCCCGCCACAGATTGGGTCACGGCTGAGACGTTCGAGAGCGATCTGGACGGTAAACACAGGCGGACTCCTGTGAGAACTGCTGCTCGATTAGGATGACAGAGTGTAATATGTCTCGTTCTCTGGTTTCAGAGACAAGGGTGCCGGACGTCCCCAGCTCCTTACATGTGCGGCCTCTGGTGAACAGCATCGTAGTGAGTTGGACGCCCCCGGAGAACCAGGACATCGTGGTGAGGGGTTACACTATCGGCTATGGGATCGGCAGCCCTCACGCACAGACCATTAAAGTGGACTACAAACAGAGATACTACACCATCGAGAACTTGAGTAAGACCCCTCATTATAATAATGACCCAGTATGATTTCAACTGAATGTAAAACAGCACAGATTAAAGGGATAGTTCACTTTGAAATTAATTGTTGGTATGTTTTATCTTACCTCAAGGGCATCCAAGATGTAGGTGTCTTTGTTTCCGCAGTAGTTTCAATTTTGATATTTTTAGCTCAAACCGTTCGTGTCTGTCAGTGATATAATGGAGGTCTATGGTCACCACCTCAAAAAGCATGCAAAGAGAAGTCCAAATTAAACATGATTTAATGACTCGTAAATGTAATGGCCTAAGACACGAAACGAGCGGTTTGTGTGAGAAAACGAACAGTATTTATATCGTTTTGTAGCCACAAAGCGCCCTCAGATCACTTGGACATGGCTTACAACATTTATTTTTAATAATGTATTAAGAAATGCTGAAATTAACGTTAATTAAGATTAAGAAATGCTATAGAAGTTAAATAATGTTACCGCTATATCCCTAAAACCTGCAATAATACCACTGCCCTTTTTGGTAACATGTTTAATTTATGATTTATGATCGTTATCAGACAAACGTGACGTGCTGTAGCACTCATTAAACAGCTCTGTTGTCTATAAAAGTGAATGAAAGGAAACATGAAGGATTGTGGGACTCGAGAGCGGGAGATTTACCCTTCTCTCTTCACCGCGTTTTAATTACATTTAAAGAAAAGAGAAAAAATATTCATCAGAAGAAACGGCGTAATTTCAGTTTTCGCAAATCATCTAATTACACGAGCGAGAATCAATAATGGTGTTTAAATCTGCACCCCTGCTAGGATGATGAATGTGTGTGAAGCTCTCAGTGGAGCCGTGGGTTTGATTATCTAAATGATTGTATTCCTCCTGCCAGATCCCAGCTCACACTACGTCATCACACTGAAGGCCTACAACAACGTGGGGGAGGGAATCCCTGTGTACGAGAGCGCCATCACACGACCCCAGTCAGGTAGGTCATACAACACACACACACACAGCTTCAATATACTCGATCTAAAACAGTATAAATTGCATATTCTGTGTGGTGGTGTCTAAAATCAATATCACATTTGTAATCATGTTGATATTTGGAGAAAAAAACGTGATATTAATTGACTATATTAAATTATATAAGTATAAAAGACATACAGAGGTATTTTTTCCCTCTTATCTTGAATATTAGAGGCATTATAAACGCATTTTAATAGACTAAATCGCATAGTTTATGTGTGTGTTTTTGTAAAGTAAGAGATATTCGATAATGTCACATGACACATCGTTAAAATAAAAATCACAACATTATCGTAGATGATATATATCTATGGAAGCTTGTTAACGCCACTGAATAAAAAAATAAAATAAAAAAATTGCGACAATTGCGAGATATGAAGTCAGAATTGTAAGAAATAAATTCGCAATTGTGAGATATAAAGTCGCAATTCTGAGAGAAAAAGTAGCAATTCTGAGAAATAAAGTCGCAATTGCGAGATATAAAGTCGCAATTCGGAGAGATAAAGTTGTAATTGCGAGATAAAAAGTCGCAATTCTGAGAGAAAAAGTTGCAATTGCGAAATAAAAAGTCGCAATTCTGAGAAATAAAGTCGCAATTCTGAGAGACAAAGTCACAATTGCTAGATATAAAGTCGCAATTCTGAGATATAAAGTCACAATTCTGAGAGATAAAGTTGCAATTGCGAGATATAAAGTCGCAATTCTGAGAGATAAAGTCGAAATTGCAAGATATGAAGTCGCAATTCTGAGATATAAGTTCCAATTCTGAGAGATAAAGTTGCAATTGCGAAATAAAAAGTCGCAATTGTGAGATATAAAGTCGCAATTCTGAGATATAAAGTTCCAATTCTGAGAAATATAGTCGCAATTCTGAGAGATAAAGTCGCAATTGCGAGATATAAAGTCGCAATACTGAGAGATTAAGTTGCAATTGCGAGATATAGTGTCAATTCTGAGAAATAAAGTCGCAATTCTGAGATATAGTCAAAATTTCAAGATAAAAAGTCGCAATTCTGAGAGATAAAGTTGCAATTGCGAGATATAAAGTGGCAATTCTGAGAAATAAAGTCGCAATTCTGAGATATAAAGTCACAATTGCAAGATATAAAGTCGCAATTCTAGAGATAAAGTTGCAATTGCGAGAAATAAAGTCGCAATTGTGAGAAATAAAGTCGCAATTGTGAGAAAAAAAGACTGAATTAAGACATTATCTCACAATTCTGACTTTTTTTCTCCCAATTGCGAGTTTACATCTCGCATTTCTGACTTTATAACATAATTGTGAGTTTATATCTCAAAATTCAAAAAAGATATAATCTCAAATTGTGAGATACTTTATATCTCGCAATTCTGACTTTATAACACGCAATTGCGACTTTATTCAGAGAATAAAGTCAGAATTGCGAGATGTAAACTCGTAGTTGTGAGAAAAAGTCAGAATTGTGAGATTAAAAATTCGCAATTACCTTTTTTTTCATTAAGTGGCAAAAGCAAGCTTCCATATATATCGCACACCCCTAATTGTCGATAATAATTTAATTGACAAAACTTATAAATGATTGATTAAGCAAGTTCATCATTAGAGTGTGTAGTTTTGAGGTGTGAGGTGTGTGATTACACCGTAGTTGTGTAATTAAAAAAAAAAAAACTCCTAACAAGTAATTTTATGGGACATAAGAACTACTTCCTAGTGTAAACGCCACAATAGAAGTGCATGGAATAAACAATTCTATGTCACATGATAAACCAAGACCTGTCAATCCGTGCGATCAAACCATCCCAAGCTGTAAAACAGTGTTCGATTGGTCTCTACACATCATCCTAACCACTATACTGGTCCAGTTTCCATTGGTTTAACTTTCAATTGACGTTGGAAAACATTCATGATCACGATGCGATCGGTTCCTGGAAGTCGTATTTCTTTAGCGAAGCATCATGTCAACTTCACTCCGTGATCTGCACAGTCTTATGTTGTTTTCGGGCTCGCTCCAGATCACCCGCTCGAAATAAATAACAGTCTCATCCCAAAAAGTCATATAACTGACGTTTTGGGACGTATTTTGACCATACGTCAATATCAGCCTTTTTAGGACCCCCTTAAAACGTCGGTAGATGGCGATCCCGGGCCGTCATACAACTGACGCTTTACCTTTAACCGCAGTTAGGTGACGGGTTAGGTTTAGGTATGGGGTAGAGTTAGGATCCCATAACCTCATCTACCGACGTTTAAGGGGGCCCTAAAAAGGCGAATATTGACGTATGGTCAAAAGACGTCCCAAAACGTCAGTTATATGACGTCTTGGGGTGAGACCGGGTTGAAATAAACGTTTACTAACGTTTCGCAAAGTTAACTTACAAACCAAAAGTGGCGCAAAAGGATCATTAAGATGCACTTTTTCAAACAAAAACTTGGAATAGTTTGTCTTTAATTGAAGTAAATGCTAGTTTTCAGTGAGTATGACACAAGATATGTATGATTTTACAGATCACATTTTCATTTTCTAAATTTCATTTAGATTTTTCACAATATGAAAATAGAGCACTTCTAATATGTCTGATGAATTTAAAAGCACTTGTTAAGTGATTCACTTTAAAGCCAAGCTTCTACGCTTAAACAACTCCTTTTTTGTGTGTTGGGTTGTTGAGTAACACGTTGAGGTTATGGTTAGCAATTAATTGATTAAATTATTGTTAATTTTAACAGCGATCGATTATGGGAATTTATGTAAATTGACATCCCTATGGATGATGATGACACATATATTTAGCTCAAGAAACTTCATGGAGTCTAAGCCAAGTTTCTGTTGAATTTCTATGTGATCATATTGATGCTACGATTATGCATGGTTCTCTCATTAGAGGCCGTCTGGTGGTCTCCAGTGCTTTTCTTCCTAGCAACCCGAGGAATTGTCATGATGATGAGATGCAGATAAAGCCATCTGCGCTTCACAACTGAAGGGCTGCTTAATAGCGCTGAGCATGATGGAGATGCAGAGCTTTGATTAAACACTGACATACAGGAACATCTTAAGAGGAAATGAGTCACTTTGCTGACATGATGATAATTATCATTATAAAACACTGGTGATCTCGTTGTTGACATTTTTATCAACTGAAGTGCTAAATGTGTGCTAAAAGTGCAGTTTTTCTTGAGCAACTAGAAACATTTTTGTGCAAAATTAGATTTAACCCCTTAACTCTCAACATCCTGATAATTTACTCACCCCCATGTCATCCAAGATGTCCACGTCTTTCTTTCTTCAGTCGAAAAGAAATTAAGGTTTTTGATAAACTTTCCAGGATTTTTCTCCATATAATGGACTTCAATGGGGACCAAACGGTTCAAGGTCCAAATGAGAGTTTCAGTGCAGATTCAAAGGGCTTTAAACGACTCCAGACGATGAATAAGGGTCTTATCAAGCGAAACGATCGCTCATTTAATAAATAAATAACAAAGTTTAAGTTTTATAAGCTCAAATGGTCGCCTTTCTCTGTTCTGTGATGAGCGTTCGTGACTCTCCCGTTTGAACTCGTTCATCAAAATGAACAAATCTTTTTGCAAATCGTTTGTTGAATGAACCAAATGACTTGAAAAAAGATTCGTTCATTTTGATGACCGCCCGTTTCGCTTGATAAGACCCTTATTCATCGCCTGGTGTTGTTTAAAGCCCTTTGAAGCTGCACTGAAACTCTCATTTGGACCTTGAACGTTTGGTTCCCATTGAAGTCCATTATATGGAGAAAATCCTGGAATGTTTTCATCAAAAACCTTAATTTCTTTTCGACTGAAGAAAGAAAGACATGGACATCTTGGATGACATGGGGGTGAGTACTCCTTTAAAACCTTTTAGCAGGCTCCTCCCCCTAGTGGGCGGGGTCATGTTTCATATTGCTAATGAACTATTTTATAATAAATAATCTTGACAAAACCCATCGTCGGAAAGGTCATAAGGCTCCATATTTGGTGGCTGTTTTGTGATACGAGTGATATTGTGACAGAAATGTATTAATTTGTTACAGGAGAACACATATTGCATTTTTTATTTTTTCAAAAATCAATGAAATGTGTGTCACCCGGTGGACATTTTTTGGAATAAACCTGAACTTATATCAACTTCAAATTTGGCACACAACATGTTTTATCTAGAGTGATAGACAACGTAGTCTGCATTATTTGATTGATTGATTGATTTTATTTGACCACTTAAATATAAAAATATGAAATATTTCATACATTAAAATCAAATACAAAAGTAGTCAGGGATAACACAATAAAGCCCGAAGACTTATTTCCATTGTGGTCTCTTATAAAGGCAGCGGAAGACGTCAAGTGGCAACACATCAATCATTCACATACATTAACCAAATTCATACATATTATACAAAAAAAATAAACTTTGGTATTATAAAAACTAAATTTGATTTTAATCATTACTTTTTAATTTTGTATTTCTTAAATTTCAATTTCAATTTTTTGTGTCAAAAACAAAAATTACAGGTTTGTTGTACTATGAATAATGTGGCAACATTTTTGTGATTTATATATTAATATGGCTATTTAATAATAATTAGAAAACTTGATTCACACTGGACAAGTAATGAAAGAGAGAAAAACTAAAGCTGGCCACTTTCTGAAAAACCGGATGATTTCTCACCTGCCGTTTTGATCAATGGTGCGCTCTTATTACCTCCCAGCATGCAATGTGGTACATGGTTTTTCTCATTTCTCCTGGTTTACCTTTAACTGAACTCAAGGGAATCTTCACCCGTTCCTTCACACACAAGCATCTCTTCCACCATTAGAGAGAATGTAGGAATGTTTAGTGAAAGGGTAAAGGCGACGATTTTCCCTCTTCCAGGATATACAGACATGTTTAGCATAGAAAAGGAGATTTTAATATTTCATATGTGTGAAATACTGTGCAATTTGCTCTCTATATATATGCAATGTTTTATGTTTGACTGTGAGTTCCTCAAAGATCAACCTCACACACTTATACTTGAGAGGCCCACATCTTTGCTTCTGTTATAGCTATAATGACAAATTTGGTATCAACGTGTACATTTTTTGTGGTCAACGAGTCCAATAAAGTTGGTTTCAAGACTAAAAAACAATAATGTTGTACTTACCATGACAATTGGAGGTGAAGTGTGCAATTTCTTATCAAAAAACGCATGCCAAGCACACATTCCATTCACAACTTAAAGGGATAGTTGACTTTGAAATTAATTTTTGATATGTTTTAGCTTACCTCGAGGGCATTCAAGATGCAATAGTAACAAAGGACAAAGAAAGCAATTTTTTTTTGGATGCACGCAGCCGCGATACAATGATCCATTCATTCAAATAAAACAGGATGACCAATCGATTCTTGAGATCGTAAAAATAAGAATCGATTAATATCGAGAAATCGATATTTATTACCCAGCCCTAATATTTAGCCACAACTGTCATGGTATGGGTAATTTCATTGGATTCCTTGACCCCAAAAATGTACACTTTGACACTAAATTTGTCATTATAGCGATAACCGAAGGAAAGATACGGGCTCTAGAGTATTTTCGGCGCATTGGCGGGCATTTTTGAAAAAAACATATTTATTTCTGATACAAAGTGTGATCTCACTTGTGTCTTAGGATAAATTTATTTGTATGACCCTAAGGTACTACCATACCAAAGGAGACCTTTGCATCATGACTTGAAGTCAAAGGCCTATTTTTTGGGCTTAACCTCCCTAGTAATATGGGTTAATGGAAAAAAAGGCAATCGTACAGGTTTAGGTTTAGAATGAGATAAAAATTAAAAATATTAGTAGACAAAACCATTAAACAGTTTTGAAAGTTACATGTGTACAAGGACCTTTATCCAAACACTAAGTCTATCCCTCACAGCCTGTTAAGATTGGTCGTTATCCTTCTGTATGTAATGTAGACGCCATTGATGTAGTTCCTTGACTCATTGTAGATGTAGTTCTCTGTAGCTCTGGATATCCTGTTCTAATACAATATTTTCTCTCTTTCTCCCTTTCCCAATCCCACCTCCACATTCCCCCCCTCCTCACTCCCATTTTAACTCATTAACCCGTTCTCCCGGTTCGTTACGTGTCTCCCGTCCTAAAACCCACGTAATCGTGCTCCCTTTTTTCGCCTTTCACCTTTTTATTTTTTCCATGGGACGTTGTGTAATTTGCTTGCAGACCCCATAGACCCTGATGTTGATTTGTACGAACTTTTCCATGCTCCATACACTCCAGTACCAGAACCTTTACCCATGCTGCCTCCTGTGGGCGTTCAGGCGTCCGTTCTGGGCCACGACAACATCAAAGTCACATGGGCGGACAACTCGCTGCCCAAGAACCAGAAGATCACAGATGCACGCTATTACACGGTGCGCTGGAAGACCAACATACCTGCAAACACAAAGTTTAAGGTATGGTGAACAGAAGCCAGGCTGCTCACGGGATTAGGTGGATCATTTTTGGTTGGTACACCCCTGACATTGATTTATTCGTTTTAGGTGGCTAATACCACCACACTTTCTCACACGGTGGTGGGTCTTAAGCCCAACACTTTGTATGAGTTCTCGGTCATGGTGACGAAGGCCCGGAGGACCAGCACCTGGAGCATGACAGCACATGGGACAACTTTTGAAACAAGTACGTACTCTACATGGGGCACTGAATACTAATTACTTTGTAAGAGTGTTTATGGACGCCTTTTTGTGAAGAAATGTCATCCAAGATGTCCACGTCTCTCTTTCTTCAGTCGAAAAGAAATTTCGTTTTGATGAAAACATTCCAGGATTTTCTCCATATAATGGCCTTCAATGGGGTCCAAACGGTTCAAGGTCCAAATGAGAGTTTCTTGAGGCTTTAAACGACACCAGACGATGAATAAGGGTATTGAATAAGAAATAAGTTTAGTCCAATTTTTCTAGAAGAATAGAAAAATTGGACTAAACAGCTCAATTCATATCCTTAGTAGGTAACACTTTATAATAACTACACGCTAATAATAATTTAAGTATGAGTATACCATTAATATATCATTCATAAAGCATTAATAAGCAGTTTATGCTTTCTTCTTGATTTAAAAGCATATCTATAATTTGTTAAATAATTGTATTTTCATCCTTTATTAATGATCAATTTATCATTTCTAAATGAAGAATTGCATTTTTTATGAACCAGTTATTTGAGAGTTGTCAATGGTTCGTAAGATGTGTAAGTAAATGATTAATAAACTATTTAAATGTACAGCTTATCATTCAGACATATAGTGATGGTTACTTAGTGCGTTAATAAATGCTTTATTAACATGTATTAATGCTGTAATTCAGGGTTAATTTGGGTAGTTATAAAGCATTTAGTACTAGTGGTCATTTGACTATGTTCGTGAGCTCATCTAAAGTGAGGACTAGTCATGCCTTGTAAAGCATTTTTAAAGGCTGTAAAATATTTCTATCTTCTGTATCACTGCGTTGTTTGTTACATTTTACTGTTTAGAAGATTGATGAGTCTTTAAATCACCTTTATAAATGCTTTACAAAGCATGAATAGTCCTCACTTTAGATTAGCTCACGAACATAGTTAACTAACCACTACTAAATGCTTTATAACTACAAAGTACCTGTATTTACTATATTTACTTACACTTTCTAAGTGATCTTAAGAATGACTGACAACTCGTAAACAACTGGTTTGTAAATAATGCTATACTTCATTTAGAAATGGGCTATATGCACGCATAAGTTCCGCATTTGACGCAAGGATGCTCGTCCTTTTCCGGTTGCGGAGATTTAAGCGGCGGAGAACAGAGGAAAACGGGATTATGGCAGAGTCTTCAACATGTACTGTCCTCCCGTCTTTGAAACGAAACGTACATACGTTTAGATGTAATTTTATATATAGTTATGTTTATTTAATATAATTTTAAAAAGAAGCATAAACACAACGAGGGGTGTCTGTTTTATCTGTTTTTGTGACTAACGTTTCATTAGTATAACCATGGAGTATAAAATTCAATATAAATTCTCGGTATTGCATTGGACTATTATGAAAAATACGCACCATTATGAAAATTACGTCACGCGGTCAGGATGGTCGGAGTTTACTTTGGGCTTCAGAAATGAACTCTGCGCTCATTTTAATTCTATATCGTTTTGAAAAACGCGCATGCCATTTAGTAAAAAGTAATGACAATTAGCTGAACGAGTCTTTACATTGACTTAACATTGAAATCACTGGCGCCAGACGCTCTATTCGCGTTTGGTGTGAACGCACCATTATGAAAGTTACTTTGTACGTCACGCGGTCAGGATGGTCGGAGTTTACTTTGGGCTTCAGAAATGAACTCTGCGTTCATTTTAATTTTATATCGTTTTGAAAAACGTGCATGCCATTTTCAAGAGAAGATTCCCATCAAGTAAAAAGTAATGACAATAAGCTGATTTTTGGCTGTTTTGAGAATTCATGAGCATTCAACTTTGAAATAACATCAAGTATGAGGGAATTTCTCTATTTGTAGTCTTGAATCATTTTGTCTTTCTTCCCAGTCCCAAGTTCTGCACCTAAAGATGTGACTGTAGTGAGCAAAGAGGGACGACCACGAACCATCATCGTCAACTGGCAGCCGCCTTCAGAAGCCAATGGCAAGATCACAGGTGACAATGTTATTAAAAATTTAGCGCCGGTTATAGACAGTGATGGTTTATTTTGCATTAACCAGTCACAATAGACTTTGAACACGCAAAAGTGTCTCTTTTGACTGCGGAGTCTCTTTTAAAACCATTATTCAACATATAATACATCCAAAATGTATAAATTTACAATCTACTCCACATTACTGCAGTCCTGCAGATTTACAGTTTGCTTCAGCAAAGAGGTCACTGTCTTTTATTGGTCACACGTCTTCACATGATGCAAAATTCACCAACTTTAAAATAAATGTGTGTGAGTTTGAGGTGAATGGAAGTCGGTGGTTGTATTTTGTGACAACCTCATATAATCGTCTACAACGTGCCTCTGTATCACTTTCTCTGCCTTC